TAACTTCCTATTATTTCTCTAATTCTTATTATTTTCATAACCAAAAAACAAATTTATTCTTCCTTCCATAAAAAATAAGCTGGCATGTGATCCTACTCAAATTCATAAAATTGAGCTCAAGCAAGTTCAAACTCATTTAATTAATTAAGTTCAAGCTAGACGAAGCTCAAGCTCAAGTCAAATAATTTACACCCCTACTTCTCAATTAAGTATATCTAATTATTAGAAGTAAAATGATATCAGAAATAACCCAAACCACAATAAAAAAAACACATATTGTTAGAATAAACAACGAACACGACACGGAACATACTGAAATAGAAAAAAAAACAATAACACAACTCATGACACACGGCTAGGGTGAATCTCAGGATGGTCGGGGTGATTAGCGAGGGTTTGAAATGTGGCTGGATGATGGATAAGGTGGTTGACAGAAAGAACATAGTAGTTATCAACATCGTTCGGTTGTCCGAGAAGATGGCAGCAATGGAGTAGGGTTGGAACAACAGCGGCAACAAGATGGAGGGCTAGAATAGCGACGACAGCAAGTAGGAAGGACGGGAACAGTGGCTAGGTGGCACGGAAGTGGTTTAGAACAGCTAGAACAACAGAAAAGGTTGCAAAGGGGCGTTTCTCATGGTCGGAACAATAGCAAGGCGGCAATGGAAATGAATATGAGCGGCTAGAACAACAGCCAAGGAGCAGAGAAGGCGGTTAGAAAGAAGAAACTGCAAAAAACAGCAAAAAGAGGTTGCTCCAAGCTGTTGTAGTAGGGAAGGGGCGATGTGAGAGGATTCAAAAGAGGATGGGAGAAGATAATCACCACCTCGGGAGAGAGATATAGTCAGGCATCATCCAATCTCTCGGATACAACTCTCAAAGGGAAACGGAAGTCGGCGGCTGTCCTAAACATACGCCAAAAACTACCAACATAAAACACGAAAAACAAATATGTAGTAATAGGATAATTAGAAATGGCTCAAGAGAACCAGCAAAGTCCTTAGCGCCGAATAAAATGGACTGTTTCAGACCAGGTACAACAAACGGGAGCAAATCCCAACACAACATTTCTCGCATAGCTTCGATTGCGAAATTTCGTTTATGTCCCGCCCCACATTAATCTCCTGGCGTTAAAGGAGCTTCAACCTACTATGTTGAAGTTTCTATCTCCTCTTAGTATAGTGTCAGGTCGGTCACTTTGAAGGTGGTGGAGCTACCATGACTCCACAGTAAATCACTCATGCAGGCGTCATCATTCCACAACATATCCTGATAGAATAAGCAATCATTCTTTTTTTGGCACAACCTAAGCCGGAGTTGCATATAGCCATAGATTCTCGCAAAATAGCTCTCGAGCTCTTAAGTTTGTAACCTTCTTCGCCCATTTCTTATACTCGGTTGAATGTATATGTTCTTCTTTTTTGGTATGAGCTGGTTTCCATTGAAGAATTTTCTTCCCCACCGAGATCCTAAGACAATTTCCAAAACTGTGGTTCATCTCTCATGTCTGGCCATGTATTAGTGCGTACACTGTTTAACTGAATCTAATATCTGAATGAGTCCATAGAATCTTTCAAACGTAGTACAAAAGAGCTTCATTTCTGACACGTTGAATCTCCCTAGCCAGGGCAACTCAGTGATGATTTTACATATATGAAAAGTATGAATTTCACTTATTTGAAGTTGTCAAGCCTCTAATATTGGCTCCTCAAACTCATGACTCTATTAGCCTTTTAGACATCAAATGTCAGTCGTATCAATGCTCCTCTCAACGCCTGCAAAATGGTAGCTCTACGCACCACAATCTCATACTCTGCATGAACGCTAATGACCTAGGACTCACGACTTTCTAGAACAACTATTGTCAGCTCGGCTGGAGTCTTTCTCCTAGGTTCAATTGTAATCACTGGTATCTCTTACTTGTCAGTTGAAAGTTAAGAATCCTATCTAAAATCTTCATCTTCTCCTGAATCACTATGTATCTCTCCAACTACTCTCTGATCCATGAAAGAGATCATTCTCCTGATTGTATAATCTGATTTGGTATGCCCAAATCCATGACACTTAAAAAATTTCCTAGCTATGACAAATTTAAGAATGTTAGTTGGCTTCACTTGTTCTCCATGCATAATTAGTTTCTCCTAAGGTGGATTCAGCTTGGATGCTCCACTATGTGTACTGTTAATGCTTGATTCTAGGGTTGAACTCCGCCTGTGAGGTGTGGTGGTCATCTGATAAAGTTGTCTCCCACTTTTGAAGCTATGATCTGAACATTCTGCCTGTAATGAACTGGTAGATACTGACCTGCATCTCCCATTTCATCTGTGACCAAATAGTGATCTAATATTTTCCCTCATTTTGGTGTTCCCTAAACCCTAAACCAAACAATGCACTCTTCTTTAATTTGTTGGTTGCTAGTTTCATCATTTCGTCAAGTGGAACGTCTTGATTCTCAAAGAAAAGTTCAACGATCTAAAGCCACCTGATGAACTTGTCTGGATCCAAGTGACCGTTAAAATGTGGCAAATCCATCGTTACCTCAAAATCCTGACTTCTTAGATATTTTAGGTCAACTCTTCAAGGTACAGCCTCTTCATCTCTGAAATCCCTAATAGAAATTTGATTTATGTATTCTTTAACACACACTTGACCATTGAAAGACCCTTCATCTCTATAATCAAATAGAGTTCAATTGACCCCACTGGATGGTCTCCTTTCCTCAATTTTATCGAGTCATTATAGCAATTGGTGTAGTTCTCGTTGTTTCGCTTCCATGATAAACTCCTAATTGGTGTCCAACACTTGTCTCAACGGTGGCGTGTAGGGTTTGGGGTTTAGGTATGTGGAAGATGGTGTATAGGGATGGTTTGAGTGGAAACGGATGGGAACAATTGTTCGGGGTGAGGGAGGAGTGGAAATAGGTTTGGCTATGGCAGATGCTAGAAACCTTATGATAGGACTAGGATTAAACTAACTCTGATATTAAATGATACTGGAATTAACCCAAATCATAATAGAAACAACAGATATTAAACAAACAGGCGGTTAGAACCAACACACTTTGAAAGGGAAAACAACAACAAACATGACAAGCAAAATGTTGAAATAGGAAATAACAACACGACTCATGACACACGGTTAAGGTGAATCTCAGTTTGATGGGGATGCTCGGTAAGGGAGGTGACGGGTTGGTAGATAAGGTGGTTGACAATCAAAAAACAACAAGGCAACAATTTATTGGGTTATGGACAACAAGTACACAGTAGATATTAACATCACTCGACTGTCTCGGATGATGCGGCGAAGAGGAAGGGTTGGACAACAACAACAATGATGGAGGGCTGGAATAGCGATGGCAGCAAGTGGGAAGGATAGGGATAGTTGCTAGTGGCAGGGAAGTGGTTCGGAACAACCAGAACAACAAACAATGTTGTAGAGGGGTGTTCCTCATGGCCAGAATAACAGTGATGCCGATGCGCCAAGGGAAATGGATATGGGAGGTTGGAACAGCAGCAAAGGGGCAAGAAAAGCGGCCAGAAAGCAAAATCTACAGAGAACAACAAAGAGAGGTTGTTACGAGCAGTTTTAGTAGGGAAGAGGCAATTTGGAGCAATGTGGGAGAATACAGAAGGGGATAGTGGAAAATAATCACTACCTCGTGAGAGAGATACAAGGCGGAGAACCACCCAATACCTCAAATACAACCCTCGAACAGAGAAAACGGACGTCGACAACTGTCCTAAACAAACTCATGCAAAAAACTCCCAATCCAAAACACGAAAAACAAATATATAGTAATAGCATAATTAGGAGTGGCCAAGAGGATTGGTCGACTCCTCGACGTCGAAAAAACTTAAAGACCAGTTCGGTCCAGGTACGACAAATGAGAGCCGATCCCATCGTTGGATTTCCCGCATTGCTTAGATTACGAAATTTCTTCTGCATACCGCCCCGAATCATAAAAAGTATAAGCATTCATTGGACCAGATCTGCAATTAAAACTCAAAACCATTTTTGGCATATGCCTGCTAGCCTTACAATGGTAATCAGTTCAACACAAGTATCAACATTGATTATAATTCACATATTACTACAACACCTGATCAAGATACACACCAGCCTTATGATTCAGAAAAAAAGCTCTCAAAGTATGAACTCTCTGATAAATAATAGGTTTTAAATTCTATTTATAATAAAAGACAGGAATAAAAAAATTCTATTGTCACTACCTACTTATCACCTAGCTTCAAAAAAAAGTGGTACAAAGGAGTTTTTTTGCAGTTTACATATTCCTAACATTTTTGTATCTTAGGCTATCATGCTATCCTTATATTCTGTGTATTTTTTTCTCTAGCAAGTCAATTTAAATACATTTGATGTACCCACATTGTATATGAATCTTTCTTTCTAGTTAATATATTAGCTTTTTTGAGCTTTCTATCTATCTATCTATCTATCTATCTATCTATCTATCTATCTATCTATATATATATATATATATATA